TTGTGATCGGGAATATGATGAATGAATGTAGGTGTTTCACCGATCTAGTCAAAATGCCTTATGTAAACACAATGTTGGACTGGTTAACAATGGACAAAGTCAAAAACGGCGTTCGATCTGTCGGACTGACTAGCCGTATGTCCAATTTCTCTGCCGTCCCTAGTAGCCGCTGGCGCAGGATCATGAATTGCCGCGCTGGCAACCTATAGATGACTCAGGCTGCTTAGTTGACTTCTACCTGTGGTCACTGTCAATCCCAATTAATACTTTTCTAGAGCTATTATTAGCTGGCACTGCTTTATCGAACATTACTTATATAACTCCACAGGCCTGATTATGAATAAATCGCTTAATGCATTTCTATGGCATAAACCACCTTTTAAATCGATTTCTAGAGCTGGAAATAAATGCTCCACGCGCACGATGCTTTTGGACTGATGTTTGCAGACACGTGTGCCAGTATTCCAGTGTGGCGCACGCTCGAGTAGATTCTGAAAGCAGAGGTCTAATCTTAAATAATTCGGTTTCGGGCCTTTGCTTGTTAACTGCTGAGAAGAGGAAAGGGTATAGGGTATTTCATTCTCTTCCATGATGAGAGTGATAAATGGGTGAGCGATCGATGTGCGTTCCGCTTGGGACATCTGGAATCCTGATTTGCGGTAATTTGTTGGCAGAAAAAGGATTAGAGGCACACAAATTATGGTGACTGCCTCGTTGCGTACCCACCTTCAGACGGCTTACTTCTAACCGCGCTGTTTCAAGGTCGAAGCGGAGTTGCATGTTTTCGCTGGCATAGTTCAACTGCTCCTTGTGAGTCATGCGATCTAATTGGATTTGTGAGGGTGTTGAGAGACCGCTCGAAACCAGACGCTTCTCAAGTTCAATAACGCGGTCCTGGAGCAGCTGGTTGTGCAATTTCATCGACTGTATGAGAAAGAAAAATCAAAACTTTAATTTATCTTCACGTCCTTCAACAAGAGGTTGCTGCTTCGGTTTGAAGTACAAGGACGCGTTTTAAGCGGAGAATATTTGGGTGATAGAGATTCCGATTTGCTGAAGACCTGAAAACGTGAGAAAATTTGGTCGGTTCTAGCGTTAAGAAAGGCGAAAACCAGTGGCAGGCAACTGCATTGTGCTTCAACCGACAAGTGTGTGATCCTGAGAAATCACCTGAAATCTGTGGTTGCAGAACAAAGAAGGAACAACCCCCCATAGAGCTTTTGAGATTGGCCTAGTCGAAATAGTAGCACGAAATAGTCGAAATAGTAGCACGCATTTCAGAGTTACCGTTAATGAAGCAATGGTGTCCAGTGAATGTTGGTTACAGTCACATCATTTATTTGCGTAACAATAAGTTTGTACTGATTGTTACATTGGGCAGTCTTATGGTTTTGCTGAAATGCTACTTTTCTTTTATCATACGACGGACGGAAACCACCACTGTTTATTTGAAAAATGTATTGTAGCACTATGTGCTCATCTTCAACGCTGCCTTAATTCAGCCCTTCAATAGTATGTGAGAAAGCCGGCAGGCGGCCGCGACACCCCAGAAGACTAGGCACAAGGCGAGACGGGGGAAGCCAAACAAACACTGACGCCCCGGTGGCAGACAGCCTCAACGCAGAGCGCAGAGCGGG